CCCCGGCTCCGGCTCCGGCCCCGGCCCCCGCCCCGCCGGAGCCGTCCGCCTGCTGCTGCCGCCGCCGCTTCTCGCCCATGAGGCTGCTCAGGCTGCGCAGCGTGTACTCCGCATGGCCGCTGCCCCGCCGGGACATGGGGCCAGCACCCGCCCCGCGCTCAGCTCAGCTCAGCCCGGCCGCATCGTCCTGCTCGCAGCCGCCGCTGCCGGACCCCGGGCGGAGTTTGAGCTGGAGGCGGGCGGGAGGGCTGTGTCCCCGCCCCGCTGCTTCAGGGCGCATGCGCTGCGCCGGTGTGAAGCCGCTGCCCAGCGCCGGGCAGGAGGCGCGGGGTTACAGCTGCTCCAGCGCCTGGTGCGCGCGGTCTCTGCCCCAGTCAAATAAGTGCCCCAGCCGAAAGGCTCCCTTCGGCCGCCAGAAGGTCCCCACAGAAGGGGATGCTGCAGCTGTTGGGTTGGGTTGCTAGGAGAGCTGCGCCTCCCGGCGGTTAGATCTGTGTTTGAAATGTCTCTAGAGAGCCTCCTGCCGGCTCATCCAGGGGGGAAAAGAAGTCTGTCGTCTGACGGACTAGGTATGTCTACAAGTGCATTTATGCGCTTTACTTAATGTGCCTTAAATCTAGTACCTGTAGGTGCCCATACACAGTGGGGATGCTGCTCCCATGGACTGTAATTGCTCATTAATTACAGGCAGTCCTCAACTTAACGTTTTGCACTTACAACGTTTATAAATTGACACCCTGTTTCAACTTTCTGACATCAGTTTCAACTTTACAACGCTTGATCCTATGCCACGCCAGTGAACTTGTTCGCTGTGTCGCCCATCTGCCCCGAGAACATCTGTCCAAACTTGCTTGGACACTTTCTTTAAGAAAGCAGATGAGACTCCTGAGAAACCTGCAGCCCAGACTCCTGAGAAGACTCTAGCCAAGAACCCTTCAAAAAGTCCAACCAAGAGCCCTTCAAAAAGTCCAGCAAAGTCACCTCAAAGAAGTCCTTCTAAATCAATATGGTTATTATTTACAATATAAATACATTAATGTAGCTATATTACTCGTCTATAATTGATTGAGTAAAATATTCTGGGTTATTTTTGGTAAAAATAGGGTATCAGGCCTTGTTTCAGGAACCGATCCCCTATTTATAACATTGTTTCCTATGGGAAAATTGGTTCTGAGTTACAACGTTTTGATTTATGACACAACTGGTTCCTGAAAACAGGGTCTTAAGTCCCAGAACTGCCTGTAATCAAGTCTGCTGGAGCCTGGTAATTACCAGACTCCAGCACCTACTGTATCAGTGTCCCCATGCTGAAACATGGTGGTGGGGGTGCTTTAAGTAAAGCTCACTTGATGAACTTTAATTAAAGAGCCAGCACTGCTATTTTTCAGCATGGGGACACATACATGAGATGCTCCGGGCATTTTAATTAGAGTGGCTCTCAATCTGCTTTAATTAAAGCATACCCCCCCCACCATGAGCGACTGGTGCCTCCTAAATCTGGGGAGGCACCCACAGAAGCCACTGACGGCGGCGGCCTTGCCAGGGGGGACACCAGCCCTGCCGACAGCATCAATGTCAGCCATTGGGGGGGGCACTGGCCCCATCAGGGGAGCAGGTGCACCCTGGTGCATCCCCTACCAGTCGCCTATGCCCTACCTCTTACTCCTGGGACACATTTATAAGTGCCTGAGGTTGTGAGGTACTAGGAAAATGTGCATTAGCCTGTCTTAATGTACATTAATTAAAGAGCACAGTTTTTAAGTGACACAATGCACATTAGCCTATTTTAATGGGCATTGACTAAAGAGCACATTTTTCCAGTGATGCTTAATGCTCATTAAAATAGGCTAATGCACTTTAAAGCACACATGTAGACATGCCCACTGTTGCCCTGTAAAGGGCAGAAGCAAGCTACTTGTTTCAGCAAGCCCACCAGCAAGCTACTTTCTTAAGGACCTGACCTAGCACCTTGGGGAAATCCGTGAAAAATTTTATCACTGGCTTCTTTGTACTAGTGGCCTAACTAGATGGAGAAGTCCAATTGATTAGGTGTTAGCTGGGGTCCAGATATCAATGGACAGATACAATTGTGGACAGTGACTGTTGAATTAAAAGGTAAGGAGTAATCATTTCTTTCATTTATCCAATTAATGAAAGCAGTTGTAGTCCCCAAGTGTTTGCAAGTGTCCACATAATTTTGCTTGGCAGGTATGATATTAGCACGGGAAAAGCCAGGGCCAGATATAAACAGGGTTTACAGATTTAACAGATGTTAACATCGAATGGTTGCAAACCAAAGTTTGGATCATATAGGCTGATCTGTACAGACAACCCCTTTTTCCTCTGCAAAATCATTTGGGCCTCCGTGGAGGCCTAGAACAAGGAGGCAGCTACATAGCTCAGATTGCAAAATCAGGGTCTGAAGTTCTGTTCTGCTCTGAGCAGTCCTCCACAGAGCCAGGAGCTCTCCAGCAATAGCATGGCTTGGAATGCAAAACCATCACTGTCTTGAATGTTTCAGAGGTAGCTCAGTCTGTTGCCCTGTTTGTTTATTCTGGTCTCATATATAGACTCCAAATCATAAATGCAGGAGACTGCTTTGAGCATAAAGTATTCAACCCAAACTCTTGCTATAATCTATACAGTTACAGTTCGTCTGATGGCAACAGTTGGTCCTTACCACGGCCACCCCCCACCTCTCTTTCTAGCACCTCACCCAGTAGATGTAGTCATTTTTTAAGTTAGTTAATGCAGTCCAGTTATATGCTCGAGAGCCAATGAAATATCTTTCTCCTTAGCTGGCCAAAAGCTTTTTAACACTTTCCCCACGAGATAAAAAAGTCATCTCTTTTCAAATCACGATGCAACACTGTCCCTTTTAAACTACCAGTATTCCCCGGAGAGCAAAAGCAGACAAAAACTCAGGCACAGAATCCAAAATAGAAGCCAGTGACTAAACCAATGAGAAGGATGGAAGACTGACCTGTCTTCAACGTAATTCGCCTTGTCCTATATAATCTTTGTTCAATGCCTTTACTCTGAGGTAGTTGGTGCCTTATGAGTATCTACATACAGAGAGAAAATATAAAAGTTCATATTATCTATAATATAACATATATAGAGAGCATTTTAGTATGACATAATGCTTGACATCCGATTCCAAAAAAACAGATTAAAAAAGAAACATCCTGGTTGAGTCACCTAGCAGATTTAAATCAAGACACAACACATCTATCAATTTTTATAGGTATTGTGTTTCTGTTCAGCTTTGAAAGAACTAAAAGTATGATCTGGCTGCTTTTTCTTGGGCTTTCTCTGTTTGCACCTAATCAGGAAATGGGACTTGAATGCCAGTCCCAAATGGATGCCATGCATTTTAAAATACAGGCAATAACATGATTTGGACCATGTGTGGTTTGCCTTATGCTCACTTTTGTTCAACTGCATGCACATCAGTGGTTTAGATTCTCCTTTTATCCCTTCAAGAATGGGGTCACTCACCTGTATTTACTATTTAGGTTCTTAAACCTTTACTGTCTCTCTCTCTCTACCCCAAAGAGAGTTTATGAAAATTGGGATGGATCTGTGGACACTGTTCCTTAACGATAAATGCACCTAGACAGAAAATGCTGTAGAACCCTAAACATATACTGCAAGTGAAACAAGTTTCTCCTTTGCTCCTGAGCTACTGGGATTTTATATTACCTGACGTGTGTGCAAAACTGCTTACAGCTTTAGTTTCCTAAAGGTACATTTTTGTTAGTCAGTGCAGAGATGCCCTAAACTTAGGCTCTCTGCTCTGCTCCAGGTACCAGAGTTACTTTGCTAGAAGCCCAGTTACTCTGTAAGTTTAGAAATACCATGTATGTCAGGGGAAAGGGGATCAAGGTAATACTCACTTCACTGAACAAGAATGGTAAGATTAACAAACAATATTTTACTGTTTTATACCTATACCTGTAACATAACAATGAAGTATAAAAAGCATTTCTTGGTTACTGACAGTAACAACAACAAGAGTTCTTATGAGCTTCCCCATGTTATGCATAGTAGAGGGTTTTTCTGAGCTTTTGGTGAGCACAGAATTACACAAAATTTACTCACCAAAGGATAACTGTAATCATGGGCAACTGGTGCCTCCCAAGTCTGGGGGGCACCAGATCACTGATGGGGGGGCAGTTCCCCAGCAGCCAATAGCTGAGCCAGTGGTGAAACCGGAAGTACACTTCTGGCTGGCACTTCCAGGAGGTGCATGGCCAATCTCAGGGGGTACAGGTGTACCCCCTACATGTCATCAACAACTGTAATAGATATTTATCAATCAGGACTTTGTAAGAAAAGAAAGGCACAAGAGCCCTCTGCAAAACTCAAATCTGGTCTCTATATTCCAAGACAAAAACATTTAAACTGCTTTTAAAGTTGTTAATATGGATCAATAGTGGAGGTGGTAGGAAGGATTTTTAAAGGTCACTGTTTTTTCAAGAAAACACTGGCTAGAAAGTAAAGTCAAGAGCTAAGACTAAGAAATCGATTGGAATTAATGGGAAGTTAAGCAAGCCCAAACTTCTGTTCTCTTCCTGCAACCGTTTTCCAGTCTCCATGAAAAGAAGATACTTGCCCATAAAAAGTACCACAATTATTTGATATCTAAACCCCATATAACATTGTCTGTCTAGTCATGAAGACTGGTGGCCAGCAGTATCATAGGGACCACCATTTTGTTAGCTTGAATAACTACAGC